TCTATTTAAAGAGAGCTAATTACATAACACCGTGACTGTCACCCACAAGACAACTTTGTTTGGGTAGGAATGCAAAAACTGAATCCATCTGGAGTGAGATGAGTACAGTGAGGCCATGTAACACAGGTCTGGTTATACAATAACATGGCCCTTCCAATCATAAGAATCCCCAAATGCTAAGTTCTAATTTAAAGTACAGCAATACACTCTAAAAACTACTCTTTACATGACTCATGTGCTCTCTGGAATTTATGCCGATCACAAAGAGAATGCTTGTTTAAGTTTAGGCATCTGTTTCATCAGTGCTCACTGCCTCAGAAGCATAGTCAAGAGTTATTGCAGTTTCCATGGAGACTAAAGCAGAAGAGTTCTTACTATTTCTGTCTGTGAAAATCCCATCACATTCCAGCTGCCAAGCTTTTTATGAGAGCATGAAGGACAAAAAGTGGCACTAGTATCCACATTCCTGTCTATCACATGCCAGTAGTTATTTTAGAAGCATATTTACCTTTGCACATGAGAAGGAAATCTTATTCTTCCATGTGCCTGATTAAGGGGATGCAAGTTGTTTAACAACTTACAACCAGATTTCCAACATATTATTTCAAGTCCTTATATTCTAATTTTTTTTTACATGAGAGCCCTGACTTCATATATCCAACGCACTTGCAATTCACAAGGAGGCTCTTGCCACTGTAAAATCCTAACAGAAAAAGTGATGCAGTGCAGATCAGATAAGTGGACAGAGAGGTGGACTGAAAACTGGCCCAGCTGCTCAACACGCAGGGTTCTGATCAGCAGCACAAACTCCACCTGGAGGCCACTCACTAGCATCCAACCACAGGGCTTCACACACTGGGGCCATCTTCCTTAAAGAAGCACGGCAGAGACAACATCCTCACCAAGTCTACATGCAGTGCCATTCAAAGGGACCGGAGCAGGCCAGTAAAATGGGCTGACAACAAACTCAGGAAGTTCAACAGCAGGAAATGCAAAATCCTGCACGTGGGGAAGAATCAACTCATGTGCCAGGATGGGCTGGGGGATGACCACTGGGAAAGCAGCTTGGCTGAGAAGGACATAAGTTGTCCTGGGTCAAAGACCAGTGACACCTGGGACTGCAGTGGATTGCTAGCTGTCCCAAGTTGATGCTTCATTACCTCTCTTTAGTAGTAGTGAGATTACACCTGCAGTCCTGGCTCCAGTTTTGGGCTCCCCATTGTAAGAAAGACATGAGTATACTAGAGTGAGTCTACTGATGGACCACAAATACGATACTGGGAATGGAGCATCTGACAGAAGAGAAGAAACCAGGAAAACTGGAAATATTTAGTTTTGATAAGAGAAGGTTGCTCTCAATATACATAAATATCTCATAAGCAACAGTAAAGAAGACACAGACTCTTACCAGCTGGGTCCCAAGTAAAGATGAAGGGCAATGGACACAAACTGAAATAGAACAAATGACACTTAAACATCAGAAAACCATTTTTCTGTCATGGTTGTCATCTACAGTTTTTCCAGGTAGACTGTTGAGTGTCCAGCCTTAGAGATAATTAAAGTCTGACTGGATGTGGCCCTGAGGAACTTGTTCTGTTTGGACAGTACTGTCCTTTGAACAGAAGGTTTGGCACAGATGATATTAAGAGATGCCCTCCATACTCAAGCATTTTATGACTGAATGAGTGCAAAGTGCAGAAGGAGGAAAAGTATGCGTGTGTACTTGTACCTTAGAAGTTACAGCCACAATAGAGTTCAGCTTCTAAGAATTTCAAAAAGACTAAGCAAAGGCATCTGGTGCACCTTATCAGTTATACAGAGCTCCACTAAGTGTCTGGAATTAATGAAGACAGCTAGAACTGAGGTCAGGCTTCTCTGTACATGTAGATTTCCCCAGATGCAAGCAGCTCCAAAACAGATTACAGGATGCTAGAAACTGCAGAAAGGACAGCATTGCTGTGCTGTTCTGAACATATCCAGTCAACTGTGACTGTTTCAGGGTGGGTCAGCAGTCCTGATGGCAACCTCAGCATATTCCACAAAAGTACAGCAGATGAATTTTTTTAGACTTTCCTATCAGGAGTGGGGAAAAAATCTTCATTCAGGATCTTTCAGGGAAAGACTTTGAATTATACTGACTGAGGCACTGCATATAAAGCATTTAATAAGAAGTCTTCAAGAAAAACATCTCAAATTTTGCTTTTTTTTTTAAGAAACTCAATCATCTGTGTATTTAAGAAACAACATGAAGCAGCTGGCCCGTTTGAGATTTTGCTCCAAGGAATAACAACAAAGAAATATGGAAACCATTCAGCCAGCTACAAAACACAAAAGCAAAACAAAGAGCATGTTGACCAAAGTTCTGATCACGATAAGATACCAACAGAAACAAGTCCCAGGGGCTTGAGAGATTTCAATCCAGAGTTATTCACTGTTCAGGAGAGCAAACAACCTTACCAGTTGACCCAAATGAACCTTAAAATTTCTACACTAGAAAGCTGCTTGATGGAATCTACTTACGTAAGTGATGTGGGTATTACAGGTCACAGCTACCCACGTGATATCAGTTTAAACCATCACTGTACCTGGCAACACTACTAGTTGAGCTTTTAATCTGCAAAAATTAACCAAGAAAATATGAGAACAATCCACACTACTATGGAGGTACATTATTTGAAAAAATACTAACCATGTAAAGATCTTCAAAGATTTTGTTACAGAAAGTTTTTCATTAATTTGTTAGAAGTGCTTTCAAACAGCATGCCATGTGATATCATTTTTTTCTTAATTTTATGTTAGTGCTGATCAGTCTGCCATCTGGAGTCTAAACAACATTAAAACTTCAACTCTTTAACACATTACAGTAGCTTTTATTCTTTTATTCTCCCTCCTCACACAACAGCTATGAGGCTGCTTGCTCCTCTATACTCAGAGAAAATTTCTAGCTCCAAAGCTACAGTAGGTGCTACAGTGTAGTAATGAAGAACAGAAAGTGGAACAAAAAAATCCAAAAAACAGTGCAACGTGGACATGAACAGACGAATCACTTTCAACACAGCACGGTATAGCTGAACAGAGATATAAAGGAATTAGAGGAAAAAAAAAACAACCAGTAGATTAATAGAGCATAAGTAATAGTCAAGGTCATGAGTCACATATTTACTAGAAGACAAGAGGCAGGGATTTTTGTATGTACATGGCAACTCTGTTTTTAAAGAGAGTATAAAGAACGGAAGTTGAATGGAAGTTGAATGCTTGAAGAGCCTGAGTAAGGGGAAGATATACTGATGGATCACAGCAATAACAAAAGAGTGCTAGAATAAAACTCTGTACAAAAAAAGAGTGTTAGAAACAGGGAGTTAATGTTGGGTTTCATATCAAGACATCAGATGGTAGGGAGAAGTCAAGAGGGGAGCATGGTGGTTACACAAACCCAGGCATCAATGGATACTGAATCCACATGTACTTAAGCCAAAAAAATATCAGAATGAACAGAGAAAAGACTGGATTTCAGATGTACTATACATAAACACCAGTATTTAGACAATATCAGCCAACATAAGATCAAAGATGACTTCAGGGAAATAAGCCTCAATCTAAGAGGTCATTAAGTTTCTACTAAGCAAGTGCATTACTGGCACAATACAGATCCAGCACTGGCATGTGCAGTTCCACCAAGACAAAGTACAGAGAGCTGTGTCTTTGAAGAGCAGTATGGTACATAGGCAGACCAGTGAGTAAGGTGTATCCCTGTCCATAAAAGGTGTTTGTTAATACACAACAACACACACAGTGCAGGAATTTAGGCCACAAGAATAAGTCATTTCTTGCACAAAGGCCTGCACAGCTGTATGCAGCTGTGTGAGTTGAGGATCCCATTTCATTACACATATAATGAAGGCATGTGTGCCAACATGAGAGTTCACAGTGTACATATAGCCAAAGCAAACAAGTAAAAGGAGAAGAGAAGCCAGATAACAAAAAGCACAAACAAGATGAGACTGGACAGCAATGCAGATGAAGGGAAGTCAGATATGTTCACAGAATGACTATGCATAAGGCAAAGAATTGTCATAAACAAATACTGTCTAAAATCCCATTTGCTAGTCCTGCTCCAATGTTTGGTTTCTAAATTAGAAAGAAAAAAAGCATAAATTTTAATTCCAAAGATTAATAAAGAAAAGATATGTAGCTGGTGAAAGTTCCGGAATGGTAAGAACTTGGTCTCTGTCAAATGGTATTCCAGTGAAAATACATCATGTTTTTGTATTTGTAGAATAATGTGATAGGGTACTGAACTTACAGTCACTCCTGTTAACATACTGCACCTCTCGAGTGACCAAGAGGATGAGTTAAATGTAATAGTAGAGAGTCCAGTTGGCTATTTCATGCACGCTAAGATGCATAACAATTTCCAACTATGTCTTCTTGAAATTCCAAATGCATCAATTTATTTTGCATTCCTTAATGCCTCTGCTATACAAAATATCCAAAAGTACAAATATTTCAGCTACAAGTGACAGCAATAATCAGTAACATACAATAAATAAAATTGCTTGATCTGTATAGAGTTGCATGCCACTATGCCAAGCAAGGAGAGTTGTTGAAAGAACAGTATATTAAGTCTGAATTCCATGTCATTATTTTGAAAAGGCCTTCTCAAGCCTCCTTCTTAATAGATTCTAAAAAGGATGTTTTCAGGCAGCACACCTTGTTACAACAAAATATAATAAAATTTTAAATAATTTAGCACAGCAAACTGAAAACTCATTAAGAAACAAAATTACTAAAACAGTGCAAATAAAATGAAAACTGCAGATAAAATGAAACCAGGAGAGTGAGGTGACACAAACAAACAAAACAAAATAACATGCATTTTCTTAATGGAAAACTAACTGAAAGAATGGTGTAAAGAAAAATACTTGTTTGAAAAGGTGTATTTATAAGAATGGTATCTGCAATACATAAGGAAGCATTATTTTAGTTCAAAACATGATTACCTGCTGACTTCAGAACTCAAGTAGCACAGAAGATGAATGGCCCAAAGCAAAGGTCCTGCATATGTTGCAAATGCTGTAAGGAAGATTGCTGGTATCTCCACGTAGCTTTCTAGTCCCACAAACCCTGCTGAAACATCCACAGTAGCAATGCCATTTGAATTTCCCTGAAAATAGGAATAAAATCAAAAGATTCAATTATCTCCAAAGAAACATCTAGGATACATTCAATTAAAAAGGAATTAATTATTACATCAACTATTTGTACCAATTATTGCATCAACATTTCGAGCCACTTTACAGTACAGTCATATTATTTACAATCTTTACACTGGAATTTCAATACAGAACCTTGCCAAACAACAGCTTCAATTTAAGATTCAACGATTACTTCAGGCATGAACAACATCTTCTGCTTGTCTTTTTTTTGGCTGCAAATACATATGCCTGATGTTTAATAAATTATGTTATAAAAATATATTAAAACAAACAGCTACATTATCTGATTTCAGTCATAGTGATGACAATATACATTTTTTACCACTCATGGCTCAAAACCAAGATTTTAGGTTTGTGGCTTAAAATTACACCAGGATATAAATATTTTTTGCTCCTGGAGACAGCAGGGCTCCTGTTTGGAGCCTGTAGTAGAACAGAAACCTCCCCTTCATCCACAACATAAGTTGCATGTAACTGAATTAAGACTCACAAAGGCAGAGATGTTTCTGATTCCCGACTCTCTGCACCACAACAGCTGGTACTGAAATGGACAAACTGCCTAGACAGCTTAAATAATCAGTAAAAGGCATTTTTAAGAAACATAAAAAAACATACAACATTCACTGTGTAGCTCATCCCAGCATCTATGAATTTGTTTGAAGTGATGTAGTACCAGAAGAGTACTGGGAGAAACAGGTAACACCTCATACAACAGCTGAGGTTACAAGGGGTCTCTGGAGGCCATGTACTGCAACCAGACTGCTTCCACAGGGCCACTCAGAGGCCTCACTCAACACCACATCCATGTAACTTCTGAAGATCTCTGAGAGTTTCCACAACCTCTCTGGGCAACCTGTGCTTGTATGCCATCATCTGCACATTACATAAGTGCTTCCCGATACACAGAGAGAACCTTCTGTGTGCAACTTTGTGCTTGTTGCCTCCTGCTTACTGAAAAAAGCCAGGCTCTTTCCTCTTTCCACCTTCTTCAGGTATTTCTAAATATTGATGAGACGCCTCTGAGCTCTCTCCCACACTCAACAGCTCCAGCTCTCAGTCCCTGCTATATGTGAGATGCTCCAGTCTCTCAGTCACCTTGGTGGTCCTTAGTTAGGACTATCTTCATTAGCTCCACATCTCTTTTGTACTGAGGAGATCAGAGCTAAACACAGTTGTCCAGATATGGCCTCACCGATGCTGAATAGACATGAAGCATCCCCTCCTTTGACGAGATGGCAATATTTTGGCTAATGTAGCGTAAGACAGCATTACCTTCCTTAGCAACACTGATGGTTTATGTACAAGTAGGTGCTCATCAGGACCTCAAGGTCCTCTTCTGCAAAGCTGCTTCCCGTCTGGCTGGCACCCAGCAGCTACTGGTGGTGGACTTCACCTTGTTAATCTTCATAACTTTCAGGAATCCACAGAATCTCTGGGTGGCTCGTCAGCTAGTATTGGAAGAGCTCTGCTGAAACATTTGTTCCTTGTGGCAGATACCTTTCTCCAAGACTAGCTCATATATCTGAATTGCGTTTCTGTAGCTTACAACTTCCAACACTGAGACGACACATAAATAACTGACAATTCAGAGAATCTCTATTTAAAGTACCACTGAAATATTTCAAACAGTAATAAAAAAAAAACAATAAAAAATAAAAAACAGACAATAAGCAATAGCTTATTGTCGTAATGGCAGAAAGTGACAGGAGACAATTCAATTTTGCATAAAAGCATTCCATGGCAGTTCCTAATGATCTAGATCAATGAAGAACAGATATAAAAACACTAGCTTGGGAAAACTAACCAGGGTATCTGCTGCGTAACAGTGAAGAAGGTCTCCATAGACAGTAATGGAAGTAATCAAAAACTCTCCTCAAAGCTGCAATGATTTTTCTGAAAAAAAATTCAGTTATATCATTCATCATATAGAAGTGATTAACAACAGTATCTCAAATGACTCTCACTGAACTGAGAAGTACAGAGGTGAAATACAAAATTGGCATGCTCCTGGCTTGCTTAAACACTGAATTGACACATTGCTGTATTTCCACTGAGCCCTTCCAGTAATTTTATAGTAACTGGAATTCTGTACACAAACAAAATGAGAAAACTTTAATTACCTGAATCAAATAATTTAAGGTGAAAAAATGAGGTAACTGGAGAAGGTTGCCCAGAAAGGTTCTGCAGCCTTTATCTTCAGAAGTTTCAAAATGCGTTCAGACAAAGCACTGAGCAACCTTTTCTGACCTCACAGCTGCCCCTGCTCTGAGGATAGAGTTTGACAAGCCAATTCAAAGTCTCTTAGACCATCTTTCTACCAAAAGGTAATATCAACAAAAACATACAAGCCTATGCTGTTCTCCTACAGAAATAAAAATGAGTATAAACAAGTCTTAGAAGTTTCGAGACTGTACTTCCTTTCCCTTCTACTACAGATACATTTGCTTTAAGGATGCAAAAAAAAAAACAAAAATAAAACCAGTAAAGAAACACACCATTTTCTTTTCTTCCTTTATGAGCTCCTGTCCAACACAACTAAAATAGCTTAAGAAATACTTATAGCAACATATATACTTTTTAAGAGCTGCTACAGCTAAGGAAAATTAACATAATTATTTATATTGTCACCGCACGTTGAAAAACAAGTAGCAACAACAAAGACATACAATACTTCTGGGAAATAAGTGATGAGTTAAAAGATATGGACAACTCAGGGCTTAAAACTAAGCAATCAAATCTATTGTTCGAACCTGTGGACAAATTCATCACGAGGTTCAGAAACTTGCAATAGTATGACACAGGCAAATAAGTATGGCGCTGACAATATACATCAGTTCCACATCTGTCAATACTGAATTCTTTTTAACTTTGGGGTTTTTTTCATTGAGTTACACAAAGTAATGAATAAAGCAATTATCCTAACTACTAAAACAAGACTGAAAGACGAGGTTAAGTCTTAGCCAATTTCACACAAATAAAACAGTATCAATAGAACTAAAGATAACCCAGTTTGGAAGGGAACTCAGAAGTCTTCAAGTACTACCTTCTGCTGAAAGCAAGTTCAGACACAAAGGACTTCACAGGTTGCTCACGACGTTATACAGCCAGAATGGGAAAGTCTGTAAAACCCGTGTAAGCAACCTCTGCCCATATTTAGCAGTCATAAAAGTCTTTAGTAAAGGACAAAAAAAGAAGTTAAAAGAAATTTGTGAGTCACATAAGTAGTTTAATAAATTAGCCTTTTTAGGTTCCAATTGTCAGAGATCTGCAAGGGCCAGCTGCTCTAAAAAGAATGTAAGCTGGGAAATGAGCATGAATACCGGGCTGATGGCAGTGATGGATTCATCAACAAGGAACTGAGAGGTCAAGCACCACGTGTGGATCAGAACTGCATCTGGAGACAGCGATCAGAGTCAGATGCACTCCAGTGATCACTTAGTAAAATCCACTGTGATGAGGCAGGTGCAAGTGAAGGTTAAGAAAACCAACCAGCAGGTGGTTCGGGTCCAGATCAGGACTGAGATGGTCTGAGACGGGGCACAGCACAGGAGCCAGCAGTAAAGTATCAGACTAAAAACAGCTCCCAGAAAAAAGGGAAAAGCCACTGCTTCTGCTTTTTCTCACAACAGTTCCTCTTGGTGTACGACTTTGAAATCCACTAAAGAATTCCTAGATTAGGGAATCTGGGAGACGCAGTTCTTCTTCTCTCCTGAGAACCACGAACCCACA